GTTTACTGAGTGCCAGAGAATTGTTACTCAGGGACAGACAGAATTGTTACTGAGTGCCAGACAGACAGAATTGTTACTCAGGGACAGACAGAATTGTTACTGAGTGCCAGAGAATTGTTACTCGCACAGACACAAAATTGTTACTTGCACAGACACAGAATTGTTACTCGCACAGACAGAATTGTTACTCAGAGGCCACAGAATTGTTACTCAGGGACAGACAGAATTGTTACTGAGTGCCAGAGAGAATTGTTACTCAGGGACAGACAGAATTGTTACTGAGTGCCAGAGAATTGTTACTCAGGGACAGACAGAATTGTTACTGAGTGCCAGAGAATTGTTACTCGCACAGACACAAAATTGTTACTTGCACAGACACAGAATTGTTACTCGCACAGACACAGAATTGTTACTGAGTGCACACAGTGCCAGAGAATTGTTACTCAGGGACAGACAGAATTGTTACTGAGTGCCAGAGAATTGTTACTCAGGGACAGACAGAATTGTTACTGAGTGCCAGAGAATTGTTACTACAGACACAGAATTGTTACTGAGTGCACAGACAGAATTGTTACTGAGTGACAGAGAATTGTTACTACTACAGAGCACAGACACAAAATTGTTACTCAGAGAATTGCACAGACACAGAATTGTTACACAGAATTGTTACAGACACAGAATTGTTACTCAGGGCCACAGAATTCATACTCAGGGACAGACAGAATTGTTACTGAGTGCCAGAGAATTGTTACTCAGGGACAGACAGAATTGTTACTGAGTGCCAGAGAATTGTTACTCGCACAGACACAAAATTGTTACTTGCACAGACACAGAATTGTTTACTCGCACAGACACAGAATTGTTACTAGGGCCACAGAATTCATACTCAGGGACAGACAGAATTGTTACTGAGTGCCAGAGAATTGTTACTCAGGGACAGACAGAATTGTTACTGAGTGCCAGAGAATTGTTACTCAGGGACAGACAGAATTGTTACTGAGTGCCAGAGAATTGTTACTCGCACACAGACAGAATTGTTACTGCACAGACACAGAAATTGTTACTCGCACAGACACAGAATTGTTACTGCACAGACACAGAATTGTTACTCGCACAGACACAGAATTGTTACTCGCACAGACACAGAATTGTTACTCAGGGCCACAGAATTCATACTCAGGGACAGACAGAATTGTTACTGAGTGCCAGAGAATTGTTACTCAGGGACACCTAATCGTTGAATTAAATAGTATGTCAGACAACATGCAGAGGAGTGGCAGAGGAGGCAATGTTTTAGGAGCGAGCAGACGTGGCAGCAGAGGAAGGGGTCGAGGCAGCAGTATTCGCAGCCAGAGGCCAGTGCTCCCGGTGTCATCCAGCGGTCGTGTCTCCACCGACAACCCTGCCGTCATTGATTGGTTGGCTCGGTCGTCGTCTTCCTCTTCCCAGGTCACCTCTGACACCTACAGCCAACGGTCGGTGGGTACGTCAGACACAACCGTTAGTTGGCATGGCCCGGGACCAAGCCCACTGAAATCACGTGTCCTCTACCTGCCCCTGTCCTTTGCTGTTCCCTCACCAAGCGAAGTAGTATCGCATGCTGTGGGCTCAGCCCCACTGTACAGTGAGGAAGAGCTAACAGAGGGCGGTCAGGAACGGGGGGAGACATCGGCCTTTTCAGCAGCCAAGCGAACAAGTACTGGCGAGGAGAGTGGCTCGGTAGCCGGTCTAGAGACAGGTCTGTCTCCTGACCCAGACGCAGCCGAGGGGGCTAGTAGTGAGGCGGAGACCCTACTTGATGATGAGGAGGTTGATCGCACTTGGCAGCCTCGTCGTCATCAGGCAATTTCTTCCGCATCATCAGGAGAAGAGGGTGGCAGCTTGGCAGCGAGCAAAACAGTCGGTGGGTTGCCCAGGAGACAGACAGCAGCAGGGTCGCATCAGTGTCAGTGGAGCCAAACGTCCACGGAGTAGAGCACCAGCTCCACTGCAGCCTACCACCACGGCCAGTAGTGGTGCCGGTGCGCACGGAGGAAGTAGCAGTCAGCCAGTGAAGAGTAGCGGGGGCAAAGTTTCCTACTCGGTGGTGTGGCAATTTTTCCTCAAGCCGCCCGAGGAAGTAAACGTAGCCGTATGTCGACTATGTGGCCAGAAATGCAAGCGTGGCCAGGGGGCCCATTGGGACTACAGCGTTGCGTCAGCATATGCAGCGTCACCATTCGGTGGCCTGGGAAAACCGTGATAAACATACGGCGGTTCTGCCTGCCCCAGCCCCCGCTCCATCACCCGCTCCGTTACTTGCTCCGTCACCCGACGTCGTCAATCGCCCTCTATCAGCCAGTCAAGGCTCCAACACCTCTGCTGAGGGGAGTTGTCGCTCATTGGCATCTTCCGCTCGTTCAGATGCTCCTTCTCCTGCTACTCCTCTTCTCGGATTCCGTCAACAGTCTTTCTTGGAATCCGTATCCAAGAGACAACAGTTTGCGAGCACGCACCCGACGGTGCAAAAGCTGAACGTCCTCCTGTCCAAGTTGCTGGTGCTGCAGTCCCTCCCTTTCCAACTGGTGGACTCAGCACCTTTCCGAGAAATGATGGCTTGTGCCGCGCCGCGGTGGAGAGTGCCAAGCCGTCATTTCTTTGCCCAAAAGGCAGTGCCAGCCCTGCATTCACATGTAGAAGAGATGGTGGGCCAGTCTTTGAGCATGTCGGTCTCTGCCAAAGTGCACGGCAGCGCCGACGTGTGGAGCTGTAACTACGGTCAGGGACAGTACATGTCATTTACGGCCCACTGGGTGAACGTGGTGCCGGCACAGCCGCACCAGCAACTTGGACAGGTCACGACGCTTTTGCCTCCACGTTTGCACGTCCTTGGTCCAGCAAGCATTTCCGCCTCTACCACCTCTTTTTCCGCCCGTGTCCTCAGCCGCCACCCCCCCGTGCCAAGTCCCATTACCCGACCGGCATATCACATGTGCAGGGCGCAACGGTGTCACGCTGTGCTGCACCTGGTATGCCTTGGCGAACGTAGTCACACAGGGGAGGAACTGCTGAGTGTAATGAACAGAGAAATCGACAGATGGCTGTCTCCGCGCAAACTAAAAATCGGAACCATGTTGACTGACAACGGAAAGAACATGGTGTCTGCTCTGCGTCAAGGAAGGTTGTGCCATGCGCCATGCATGGCTCACGTGTTCAATCTGGTTGTCAAGCGGTTCCTAAAATCCACCATCCCACTGCAAGACATCCTTAAAATGTCACGTAAACTGTGCATGCATTTCAGCCATTCCTACACCGCAAAGAACACCCTCATTGAGCTGCAGCGGCAGAACGGAATTCCACAGCATCGCCTGATCTGCGACGTTGCAACAAGGTGGAATTCAACCCTACACATGTTAGACCGCCTTTACGAGCAGCGAAAGGCCATCACCGATTTCCTGATGTTACAAGCGGATAAAGGTACTCCCCTGTGTAACTTAGATGTCAGCCATTGGCAGCTCATGCGTGACACCTGCCGCTTGCTCAGGCCCTTTGAGGAGGCCACGCTATTCGTGAGTCGGCAGGACTATGGGATGAACGACGTCATTCCTCTGTTGCACGTCCTGGAACAAATGCTGTTAACAATGGCTGGTCAGGGTGCGGTAGACGTGGCGCACAGATCTCAACGCCACATGACCCCTGTGGGGGCAGGACAGGAAGAAGAGGAGGAGGTAGAGGAGGACATTTGTGCTCAGGAATTATTGAGTGAAATGGGTGGTTTTTCCACTCAGCGGACAGGAGTGGAGGAGCAGGAGCATCTGGTAGAGGAGGAGGAGGAGGAGACAGAGGACCCAGACGCACCGTGGCAGTATGCTGTGGAGATGGAGGCAGGGAGTCCCTCGCATTCCTTGGCACAAATGGCCCATAGCATGCTCGGTTGCTTGCGTAGCGACAGCCGAATAATAACCATCAGACAGAGGGATGACTTTTGGCTGTCCACCTTGTTGGACCCTCGCTACCGTCCAAAATGGTGGCCTTTTTCACACCTGCTGAGAGGGAGGCCAAAATTACGTACTATAAAAACCACCTATGTAGTCAGTTGGTGGTCTCTGCCTTTGTGCGCCAACGTCCATCCTCAGACACTGTGGGCCCTGTGCGCTCGCGTTCCGCTGGCATGGCAGCAGGGGAGGGGTGGGGTGGTAGGAGCAGTGGCAGCTCCACCAGCAGCGGCTGCCTCAGTCTGCAGTCGATGATGAGTAGCTTTCTTCACCAGCGCAGTGAGGAAACTACTAACCCCGCAGCAGCAGCAGCAGCAGCAGCATCAGGTGGACCTGGAGCAGGAGCTCAAACAACAGGCTTGGGCCTACTTGGACAGCACCCTGCCAACCGAGGTAGACAATCCCCTTGACTACTGGGCAACGAAACTTGACCTTTGGCCCCAACTAGCTGAATTTGCCCTTGAAAGGCTGTCATGCCCGGCCAGTAGCGTGGCATCGGAGCGCGTGTTTAGTGCGGCAGGAGGTATTGTAACTCCGCGGAGGACACGACTGTCCACCCAAAGTGTGGAGAGACTCACGTTTGTGAAAATGAATCAGGCGTGGATTAGTCTGGATTTCAAACCACCAGTTCCTGACACAACTGACTAAATCCGCCATGAATCATGCCTCAAACATGTGCCACTTTCAGGTCTCCTCACACACTGCTGGTGTTCCATTTTTTGACATAGGGTGCTGGCAGATTACGGGCCTCCCATAGCTGCTGCCAGGCCCCTAATCTGCCATGGGCCCCTATATACCCGCCTCCTCATGCTGCTGCCAGTCCAGAGTCTCTCATGGGTCCCTGTACGGCCTCCCATTGCTGCTGTCTGTCTCCATCGCCACACACTCTGCCATGTGCCACTTTCAGGTCTCCTCACACACTGCTGGTGTGTTGAATTTTTTGACATAGGGTGCTGGCAGATTACGGGCCTCCCATAGCTGCTGCCAGGCCCCTAATCTGCCATGGGCCCCTATATACCCGCCTCCTCATGCTGCTGCCAGGTCCAGAGTCTCTCATGGGTCCCTGTACGGCCTCCCATTGCTGCTGTCTCCATCGCCACACTCTGCCATGTGCCACTTTCAGGTCTCCTCACACACTGCTGGTGTGTTAAATTTTTTGACATAGGGTGCTGGCAGATTACGGGCCTCCATAGCTGCTGCCAGGCCCCTAATCTGCCATGGGCCCCTATATACCGCCTCCTCATGCTGCTGCCAGGTCCAGAGTGTCTCTCATGGGTCCCTGTACGGCCTCCCATTGCTGCTGTCTCCATCGCCACACTCTGCCATGTGCCACTTTCAGTCTCTCCTCACACACTGCTGGTGTGTTGAATTTTTTGACATAGGGTGCTGGCAGATTACGGGCCTCCATAGCTGCTGCCAGGCCCCTAATCTGCCATGGGCCCCTATATACCGCCTCCTCATGCTGCTGCCAAGTCCCAGAGTCTCTCATGGGTCCCTGTACGGCCTCCCATTGCTGCTGTCTCCATCGCCGCCACACTCTGCTGCCATGTGCCACTTTCAGGTCTCCTCACACACTGCTGGTGTGTTGAATTTTTTGACATAGGGTGCTGGCAGATTACGGGCCTCACATAGCTGCTGCCAGGCCCCTAATCTGCCATGGGCCCCTATACCGCCTCCTCATGCTGCTGCCAAGTCCAGAGTCTCTCATGGGTCCCTGTACGGCCTCCCATTGCCTGTCTCCATCGCCACACTCACTGCCATGTGCCACTTTCAGGTCTCCTCACACTGCTGGTGTGTTGAATTTTTTGACATAGGGTGCTGGCAGATTACGGGCCTCCATAGCTGCTGCCAGGCCCCTAATCTGCCATGGGCCCCTATATACCGCCTCCTCATGCTGCTGCCAAGTCCAGAGTCTGTCATGGGTCCCTGTACGGCCTCCCATTGCTGCTGTCTCCATCGCCACACTCTCTGCCATGTGCCACTTTCAGGTCTCCTCACACACTGCTGGTGTGTTGAATTTTTTGACATAGGGTGCTGGCAGATTACGGGCCTCCCATTGCTGCTGCCAGCCCCGTAATCTGCCATGGGCCCCCGTACCGACTCCTCATGCTGTGACGTTGCAACAAGTCTCTCAATTCAACCCTACCATGTTAGACCGCCTTTACGAACAGCAAAAGGCCATCCAGATTTCCTGATGTTAAAAGCGGATAAAGGTACTCCCTGTGTAACTTAGATGTCAGCCATTGGCAGCTCATGCGTGACACCTGCGCTTGCTCAGGCCCTTTGAGGAGGCCCCGCTATTCGTGAGTCGGCAGGACTATGGGATGAACGACGTCATTCCTCTGTTGCACGTCCTGGAACAAATGCTGTTAACAATGGCTGGTCAGGGTGCGGTAGACGTGGCGCACAGATCTCAACGCCACATGACCCCTGTGGGGGCAGGACAGGAAGAAGAGGAGGAGGTAGAGGAGGACATTGGTGCTCAGGAATTATTGAGTGAAATGGGTGGTTTTTCCACTCAGCGGACAGGAGTGGAGGAGCAGGAGCATAGCTGGTAGAGGAGGAGGAAGAGGAGACAGAGGACCCAGACGCACCGTGGCAGTATGCTGTGGAGATGGAGGCAGGGAGTCCCTCGCATTCCTTGGCACAAATGGCCCATAGCATGCTCGCATTTGCTTGCTTGCGTAGCGACAGCCGAATAATAACCATCAGACAGAGGGATGACTTTTGGCTGTCCACCTTGTTGGACCCTCGCTACCGTTCAAAAATGGTGGCCTTTTTCACACCTGCTGAGAGGGAGGCCAAAATAACGTACTATAAAAACCACACCTATGTAGTCAGCTGGTCTCTGCCTGTCTGCGCCAACGTCCATCCTCAGACACTGTGGGCCCTGTGCGCTCGCGTTCCGCTGCCATGGCAGCAGGGGAGGGGTGGGGTGGTAGGAGCAGTGGCAGCTCCACCAGCAGCAGCAGCTGCCTCAGTCTGCAGTCGATGATGAGTAGCTTTCTTCACCAGCGCAGTGAGGAAACTACTAACCAGCCGCAGCAGCAGCAGCAGCCATCAGGTGGACCTGGAGCAGGACCTCAAACAACAGGCTAGGCCTACTTGGACAGCACCCTGCCAACCGAGGTAGACAATCCCCTTGACTACTGGGCAACGAAACTTGACCTTTGGCCCCAACTAGCTGAATTTGCCCTTGAAAGGCTGTCATGCCCGGCCAGTAGCGTGGCATCGGAGCGCGTGTTTAGTGCGGCAGGAGGTATTGCAACTCCGCGGAGGACACGACTGTCCACCCAATGTGTGGAGAGACTGACGTTTGTGAAAATGAATCAGGCGTGGATTAGTCTGGATTTCAAACCACCAGTTCCTGACACAACTGACTAAATCCGCCATGAATCATGCCCCAAACATGTGCCACTTTCAGGTCTCCTCACACTGCTGGTGTGTTCCATTTTTTGTCATAGGGTGCTGGCAGATTACGGGCCTCCCATAGCTGCTGCCAGGCCCCTAATCTGCCATGGGCCCCTATATACCGCCTCCTCATCTGCTGCTGCCAAGTCCAGAGTCTCTCATGGGTCCCTGTACGGCCTCCCATTGCTGCTGTCTCCATCGCCACACTCTCTGCCATGTGCCACTTTCAGGTCTCCTCACACTGCTGGTGTGTGTCCATTTTTTGTCATAGGGTGCTGGCAGATTACGGGCCTCCCATAGCTGCTGCCAGGCCCCTAATCTGCCATGGGCCCCTATAAACCGCCTCCTCATGCTGCTGCCAGGTCCAGAGTCTCTCATGGGTCCCTGTACGGCCTCCCATTGCTGCTGTCTCCATCGCCACACTCTGCCATGTGCCACTTTCAGGTCTCCTCACACTGCTGGTGGGTTCCATTTTTTGTCATAGGGTGCTGGCAGATTACGGGCCTCCCATAGCTGCTGCCAGGCCCCTAATCTGCCATGGGCCCCCGTACCGACTCCTCATGCTGCTGCCAGGCCCGTAATCTGTCATGGGCCCCTGTTGTCGCTTTTGGCATATTCCGCTCGTTCAGATGCTCCTTCTCCTGCTACTCCTCTTCACGGATTCCGTCAGCAGTCTTTCTTTGAATCCGTTTCCAAGAGACAACAGTTTGCGAGCACGCACCCGACGGTGCAGAAGCTGAAAGTCCTCCTGTCCAAGTTGCTGCTGCCAGGCTCGTAATCTGTCATGCGCCCCTGTACCGCCTCCTCATGCTGCTGCCAGGTCCAGAGTGTGTCATGGGCCCCCGTACCGACTCCTCATGCTGCTGCCAGCTGCTCCCGTAATCTGTCATGGGCCCCTGTACCGCCTCCCCATGCTGCTGCCAGGTCCAGAGTGTGTCATGGGTCCCTGTACGGCCTCCCATTGCTGCTGCCAGGCCCGTAATCTGCCATGGGCCCCCGTACCGACTCTCCTCATGCTGCTGCCAGGCCCGTAATCTGTCATGGGCCCCTGTACCGCCTCCTCATGCTGCTGCCAGGTCCAGAGTGTGTCATGGGTCCCTGTACGGCCTCCCATTGCTGCTGTCTCTATCGCCACACTCTGCCATGTGCCACTTTCAGATCTCCTCACACTGCTGGTGGTTCCATTTTTGTCATAGGTGTGCTGTATGGCCTCCCATTGCTGCTGCCTCCACCGCCACACTGTGGCTCCACACTCTGGTTTTGGCCCCGTGACTGCCCAAATGAGTGAAGTGTGCGGTGATTCTAAGATCGACGGCACTCATCTGCATGTCATACTGACTGACAGTATTATTTCTCTTCCCCAGCAGACTCCAAGGGCATTTAAATTAAAGGTACAGTGTTCTGCACTAATATTAAGTCTCTCTGAAGCCTAGAAACACCCTTTTTTATTCGCCGAATCAGTCGAATCGAATTTTTGAATACTTTCGCTCATCTCTAGTAAATACCTATTCACATCATTTTAAATCTAGATGATATTTTGTGCTTATACTGTACATTGAACATTCTTTAACCGCTTCAACTTTTACCCCCTTCCTGCCCAGGCCAATTTTCATCTTTCAGCTCTCTCACAATTTTAATGACAATTGCGCGGTCATGCAACGCTTTACTCAAACTAAATTGTTATCATTTTGTTCACACAACTAGGGCTTTTCTTTTGGTATTATTTAAGCACTGCTGGGGTTTTCATTTTTTGCTAAAGTAACAAAAAATATTGGGGAACAAAAACATGTTTTTCTCTGTTTCTGTTATAAAATTTTGCAAATAAATAATTGTTAATAAATTTAGGCCAATTTTCTACTATTTTCAATATTCTACTAAATTTCTTTGGTGAAAATAATCCAAATCTATCTTTTTTTATTTAGTCTGTAGGAAAGACTTAACATTTATATTGTATTAGAGTTTGGCTTAAAGAAGAACTCTGGGAAAAGCAAAAAATAACCCATTAGTACATCATCCTACACAAAATACTAAACCGTTAATACAATTTTGATAATCCTTACCATTTAGGAGATAAATCTAATTTAATTTTTATTACCTCAGTTCTGTAATTCAAACCATAACAGCATCTGCTCTGCCAAGGAGGAGGTGTAACAGCAGGGATTACATCATATCCTCTTCTTTCTCTGCTGTAAAAGAAAACTACAGATCCCATCAACCACAGGGAATTGTAGTGAATATGGGTGGATACACTAGGCCTGTACATGTTGCATGTGTCTGAGAGTCGGTTTGCCCACCACTGCAAGTGGGGCTGAATTACATCACTGCTTCCTGGAGAAAGAACTACAGAAGGGATGTGCCAAGACTGGCAGCTGAGGAATATAAGGCATAGCAGCCATTGGTTTTACAAACAGGAACCAAAGAGAATTAACTGTTTGATTTGAAAATTAATAGGATATTTCAGAGCACCTACTGAGTGAACCAGAAGATAATTGACATATTCAGTGAAGGTAGGAAATCGGCAACAATGACATGAAAAGAAGTTTTCTCCCAGTGTTCTGCTTTAATATACATTGCATTACAGTTTGACTAAACATATATATATTATTATAGTTTGATTTAACGTATATTGTATTACAGTTTGACTTAAGTTATGTTGTATTAAAGTTTGGCTGTTGCTGCCTCTTGTAGTAGTGAAAGTATGACAAATGCTTGTTTGGGAGTTATATAATATCCTGCATGTTTTTAGGATAGTTTATGCTTGATTAGGCATACACTTTACCATTACTATTTTAAACAAAACCATTTCATACAGTTCACCTTTTCAAGATATGTTTACAACATGCTCACAGAGCACAAAGTTGTTCCTGCAGCCCATCCATATCACAATGCAGCCTGTTCCCATATGGAAGGGAAAGTTGGCTATCAGTGCTACAGACAGTGTGGCACAAAGCATTTTATGGAAGACAGTAAAACATGGCTGTAGCTTGTGTTCTGTCTTCATTTTCAGCTGTAAAATCTGAAAATGATTTAGTGTAGTTGAGGGTTGAGGATTTTGTTACTGTGGTCGGCAAGAAAGGAAAAACAAATGCATCATAAATCCTCAATGTAACCTTCAAAAGGAAGGCAGGTGCAACATTTCATAAATGAAAATAATATTTAGTTTGGTAATATGCACATATATTTTGTTAGTGTTAAAAAAAAAATGTTTTGCTTTTATTTTTTGATAAATTCAGGACGGGTTGGAAACTTTGTTTTTTGTTTTTTTTTTTGTAATCTTCTGTTTATAGGATTCACATAGAACAGTGGTACGATGAAATCAAGATGCATTATGTAACCGATAACCTTAGATGTGTAAGGGCCCACAGGCCTGACTTATTTTTATTTATGCAATTTCAGTCATTTTTTTTTCTTTTTGGATAAACTCAGAAAGGGTTGGAACCTAGGTTTTTTACATCTTTTATCCATAGGAGTCACATAGAATAGTGGTACAATGAAATCAGGATGCATCATGTAACTGGTAACCTTAGACCTGTAAGGGCTCACAGGCCTAACTTATTTATTTCAGGAACTTATATAGCGTTGTCAATTTACACAGCACTTTTCACATATATATATTGAACATTCACATCAGTCCTTAACTCTCAAGGGGTGTACAATCTAAGGTCCCTAACTCACATTCATACATACACATATTAGGGCCAATTTAGACAGGATCCAATTAACCTACCAGCATGTTTTTGGAGCGTGGGAGGAAACTGGAGCACCTGGAGGAAACCCACACAAGCACAGGGAGAACATGCAAACTCCATGCAGGAGGCACCATGGTCGGGAATTTAACCCATGACCCATTTACTGCAAGGCAGACGTGCTAACCACTAAGCCACTGTGCCGACTTATTTTTATTTATGCAATTTCTGTCTTTTTTTTTTTCTTTTATTTTTTGATAAACTCAGAAAGGATTGAAACCTCTGTGTTTTTTTTTTTAATTTTTATTTATAGGATTCACATAGAATAGTGGTACAATGAAGTCAGGATACATCAAGTAACCAGTAACCTTAGGTGCGTAAGGTCTCCCAGGCCCAACCTATTTATATTTATTTATTAGACTTATAGTTTATCACTGAGTGCATTGCAAAGGATGCAGAAAGTCATAACCAGTAAAGCACTGCAAGTAATTAACATTAAAAATCATAACAGAAAATTGGTAGCCTAACCCTTTGTCTTTGGTCTGTAATTTTTATATTTTCTAGAGGTAGAGAAGGGGAAAAGAAAAAAATGGGTATGGTTACTAAGAAGATGGAGGGGAGGAAGGTAGAAGTTTCAGTTATGGGGTCGATAGATAGATAAATAGATAGATAGATGCTGGAACAAGGGTATAGGTCAATGGAAGGAATGGGGGGGGGGGGAACAGAGGGGAAGGGAGGTAGGGCAAGAAAAGAAAAAAGGAAGGGATGGAAGGGGGCATGATCTGGGGTGAATGAGTCTGGATATGGTGGGCAGGTATACCAGTATATCCAAACATACAGCAGGTGCATATACTGTGTAAATGGGGGAGCTGTTTTTGTATTTGATTCAATAGAACCATGTTTTTCTGATTTGTTCGTCTTGATTCTTCAGTGAGGACATGAGGTTCTCCATTGTCATTATTTAATTAATTCTTGCAAACCAGTGTGCAACTGTTGAAGGTGAGGAACTCTCCTATAAGGTAAGAATACACGAGTATACAATGAGTAAATGGATAAGTAGAGACTTTTTGTAGGACTTTCTAGATAGAGGAGTTAAGATGAAAATATAGTGTGAGGGGTCACTTTGAGAGAGAGTCCAGTCACTTTGTGAGTAATCTAGGTCATTAAAAGCCAGGAGGGCATGAGCTTGGGACATCACCAGGACACATTAAGCAATATCCCCTTGTCTCTGTTGAGTTTTTAATCCTGTATTGTTGTGGGTGAAAACCTTTGTCATTTTATATTGTTCTCTGTTTTGGTGGCAACTTGTCACCAGGAAAGAAAGCAGGGGGAAATGTTTGATTATTTTATGCTTCCTGCTTGGAGATTTTCTGTTAGTTCCTGTAGAACATTAGAAGAATGAGGAGACCATAAAGTTTGATTCAGTCCAGAAATAATTTTTCTTTTTCACGGCACATGATAAGAAAAACATGTTTTATGGGCTTTGAACACACCCTGTGGTGGAAATAAATTCAGGTTTGTACTGGACAACAATTGCAAACTGAAACAGATAGCATGAGATCTGGATCGCAAACTGACAGCCTGAATTTATTGCCGGTGTACAAGTCCTGATAAAGAGAAGGAGCTCTGGCCCCCAAAATGCATTGGAGTTAATTACCCATTGGAGAAAATAAAAATTATTACTGGAATTAATTAAGCTTTGTATCAATATGCAGTTGGCAGAGAACTGCCTTTAGAAGTTAAATTTTTACTTGTGATTTCTATCTACTCTGAGACCCAGTGTTCCACTAATATTATTGCTTCCTTTACTGAGGACACAGTCAACAAACAGGAAGCGAGTGGAAACCTCCCCAACTGAGAGAACAATATCAACTGAAATTGGTTCTCGCCCATTACCATTTTACACAAACATTGTGGTTGGAGATACAGTTCAAAGAACTCCATAAATTTTTATATTTGAATTGTCCCTTAGTAAACCCTGACTGAGATCTGTAGAAACTCTTTTTTTCGTTCATGTGGTTCTATCAGTTGCTGGAGAGATGGAGAAAATGTATCAACATATTTGTGTGCTCCCTGCTCCTATGTGCTTAGAACTATGGGCAGGTCAAAGTCATGCAAAAGTAGATGAAACCTTGCATCCCTTGCTGTCCTAGAGACATTATTCAGCACTTCAGTAACTACATGGTATTGTGTATACAGCAAGTACTTATTTAACTGCAGCATCAATAGAGAGAATACACATTATGAAAATGCAGGGATGCTAATAGTCACATAACACTCTTCCTTTATCTACATAGAGAAAAGCTGTGACTCCTACCGAGGGCATATTTCAGCAGGTACAAAACATATCTAAAGCATGGCTAGGTAAATATTGGTTCTTTGGCTGAAACTAAAGTTCACTTCTGAATGAATAAATATGGAAATGGCTAGAACCAGCATGACGACAAGGTCACCTTATAATAAACTGCCCCAGGGTATATTAAATAGGCCATGTACTGCTTAGATTCATAACACAGGTAGTTGATAGAATTTCCCTTAACTCATTTTACAGTTAGCAGCTTCTAGGAAAGCGAGTCATATACCTATTTTTAGTAAAATCTATCTTTAGAATTTATAACAGTCATATGTTTTTACATTTTTCCACAATACATATCATTCAGATCAATAAGTACTGGTGGGAAAAGACACAATACCATTCAGACCATTTTTGTATTGACAAATGAGAACAG